ATGTTTTTAAGATTCCGGACTCTAGATCCAATGTGTTTTTTTCCAGTGATCAGCACAAAAATTTTCTTGTAAAAAATTAAATTGTTCAGTTAAATTTGGCAATAGCTAACGTGGCAAAGTTCCTTTCTGCTAAACGCGGTCCAATTCTAAGTGCCTCTAGTAGTTTTCGAGCATTTTTTAAGTTTTGAATCATTTCATTAAATATGTTGATTTTTTTAAAACAAACGAGTGTCAATTAAGTCGCGCATAAAATCAGAAAATCTCGTCTAAAATATTAGGAAAAATCAGGAAATTTTAAAATTAAATTTTAGTAGAGAGACCCTAGGAAGTTGCACCGAGAAAGTTAAATCCAGTTAATATAAGTTCTAGTAAGGATGAAGTTATCTATGAAAGAGAGAGTATTACCATCTCAATTCTTCTAGTGCAGAAAGCCATATGTCGCATTCTGGTTGGTCTGCAAATTTTATGCTCCCCAGAGCCCCAAGCGCTCAATGTGTACAAACAAGATATCGGATAGTGCTCAAGACATTATGAGAAATACCTAAGTTCCAACTTCTCAAATGATCTGTACTGTAAACAACGCACTTGCTTGGATATTTTTGCTGAGAATCATTTTTTTCCTGTTGGTCTGTATCTAGTATCATTCACTGCTGTCTCATGAATACGAATTTCTCTAGTTTGGATTCGTAAAAGGGTCTGTTAATATGTAATCTAATTTGTAACTGAAAAAACGTTGGCTCAGACCTCTATATCTGTAGCTCATAAGCTATAAACATAATATCAGAAAGTTTCAAGGCAAATAATTCATAAAGTTCTTCGAAAACACATGATTTATTCAGAAAAACTTGGCAACTCTCGAATGTTCATACGGCGTTCTTCCTTAGCTCGGCGTACTGCCGTGCTACGCAAAAACGCCGTAAACGCCATTTTAACTTTCCTGGAAACAATGTATCATAGCAGAACAACTTGTATACCTTGGGACAATTTTTTTACAGAATTCTTTCGCAAATATTGCCAAGAACTTAACCTGAAAATTTGAGGTAGGTACACTGGAAAAAAACACATTGGATCTAGAGTCCAGACTCTTAAAAACATCGACAAGAAAAAATACTCTTGATTCAATCAGATTTAAGCCTAAATCAAGAACCAAGCCTCTTAAACTGAGCGGATTTCCTTTTGATTTAAGCTTAAATCTGATTGAATCAAGAGTCCTTTTTCTTGTCAATGTTTTCAAGAGTCTGGACTCTAGATCCAATGTGTTTTTTTTCCAGTGCACATGGGTAAAATAGTCTTTATTTTATAAAGTGTTAAGTTTCAAAAAACGCGGGAAAATCTTAGTGGATTTACGGCTTTCTTCCTTAGCACGGCAGTATGATTCTCTCGGTAAAATAACTGGAGACCTGCTTGAGAGTGAAACCTTCAAAACGCAGGATGCACTCAATTTTGAATGCATCCGTTATCTGCATCGGAATCGAGTGACGCGTGCGGGCGATTATGACGTCATACTCGGTGCGTCGCGTCGGTGTTGCTGAAACTGGAACTACCGGAAAGAATGAGTCACTCCGGACAGTGTCAGTGAGTCAGTCAGACAGAGATATTTTAATCCGTCGTCCGGACTGACCGTCGTGAAAATATTCAAATCGACTTGCAAATCCAGAGTGTAGGCATCATTGCGGGTCTCAGCTCGTAATCTAGGTGTGTACCCAGATCGGATTGCTCCAGAAAATAGCTGGAATTATTCTTATAGAACTGAGGTCTCGCGTTTTCTATGTCAGGCTGGAGGATTGGAGAGTTGCATGAAACGAAAGAAACGTGCAGAAAATCGAACATTTTCGTGAAGTATTTCATGAAATTTTACGAGGTTCACCGGAAAAAAAAACACATTGGATCTAGAATCCAGACTCTCAAAAACATCGACAAGAAAAAATCCTCTTGATTCAATCGGATTTTTGCTTAAATCTAGAACCAAGCCTCCTAATTTGAGCGGATTTCCTTTTGATTTAAGCAAAAAGCTGATTGAATCAAGAGTATTTTTTCTTGTCAATGTTTTCAAGAGTCTGGACTCTAGATCCAATGTGTTTTTTTTTTTTTCCAGTGTCGTATTTCTTGAAATTTTACGAGGTTATAAACTTCATTAAAAATATGAAGCGTTCATGTTGAAGTGAATCGTATTTCATGGAATTTTACGAGGTTATAAACTTTGTTAAAATTATAAAGCGTTCCTGTTGAGGTGAATCGAAGATATTTTAAGGTAAATCCGGGAATTATCAGGAAATTTTTTTGCGCCAGGGCAAACCTGGAAGAACGCTATGGAATCCGCGAAGGATGTTTGTTAGGCGTGTTATGGATTTTCTTAAATTTTTGGGAGCCCGAAAAATTTTTTGTCTTAAAAAAAAAAAAAAAAAAAAAAAAAAAAAAAAAAAAAAAACCTCTTTGGCGTATGCAGTTTTGAGCAACAAGGGGCTCATGCAGTCTACGCACCACGACATTGCGCGTTTGCGAATTGAATGCGAACCTATCTCATCAGTTCTTCAATCTCATAAGTTCGGCTATACGAATCGAACGTTCTCGGTTACTTAAATTGAAATTTGAGTTTGACGAACCAAATAGCTATCTGATATAGATCACTATATTCTCCTTCATTTTTTGGATATGCTATTTTTGGTTCATGGAAGTCGAAATATTTTAATCTTGTGTTAGGTCCCATCCAACTTTTCTACTCATGCGGCAAAGTCTCTGAGTCAGTAGAAAAGAGTTCACGCTCTCCTTCGTCTCGTGAATATGCAATTTTGCCTACTTGGAAGTCGAAATAGTTGTATCGCGTGCTTTGCCCCATTCAACTTTTCTACTCGTGCGTTGAAGTCTCTGAATCAGCCGAAAAGAGATTCTCCTTCATTTCGTGGATATGCAATTTTGCCTAATTGGAAGTCGAAATAGTCGTATCACACGCTTCGCCCCCCCCCCCCCCCNTCCAACTTTTCTACTCATGCGTTGAAGTCTCTGAGTTAGCCGAAAAGAGATTCTCCTTCATTTCGTGGATATGCAATTTTACCTACTCGGAAGTTGAAATAGTTGTATCATGCGTTTCGCCCCATTTTCTGAACATCGATTTCTGACTAAAAGCTGTTTCTCCAGGATGCTTTGCAAATATTCATCTTTCAATTTTTCAAGTCGACTATGACTCATCATAATGAATGAGTGAAGCTTTATGCTGTCATGCCAAGGAAAATCACCGTATGAATATCCGCACGTCGCCAAATTTCCTTTAAAAATAGTCATCGCTTCCCTTAAGAATACAAATTTTATCCGGGGAAATTTGACAAAAGTCGAATGTTCCCATGGCGTTCTTCCGTAGCACGGCATTATGACAATTAGGTTTTCATGTAGAACACTGGAAAAAAAACACATTGGATCTAGAATCCAGACTCTTAAAAATATCGACAAGAAAAATTACTCTTCATTCAATCAATATCTAGCTTTAATCAAGAACCAAGCCTCTTAATTTAAGCGGATTTCGTCTTGATTCAAGCAAAAATCCGATTGAATCAAGAGTATTTTTTCTTGTCAATGTTTTCAAGAGTCTGGACTCTAGATCCAATGTGTTTTTTTTCCAGTGAGGGCGAAAATACAAAAAAAAAATAAATATAAAAAAAGTACAAGTACAAAAAAAAAATACAAATATAAAAAAATACAACTAAAAGTACAAAAATACAAATTCTACATGTATATGTGGAAGAAAAATACAAAAATTGGAATAAAGTTACGGCGTTCTGTCTGTGGACGGCGATATGCACGTATTTATACTGAAGGGGCGCAAGCACGCAATCTCTTCGCACATAGTTCATTTTGGCGCAAATACATCAATTTATGAATCGGACGTCCTGGGCAGGCGATGGTTGCCTGAAATTGGTACGCTAGACGAATTGCTCAAGTAGTGGTTGACCGTGTGATCAATTGAATAGGTATATTACCTGCTTGTTGCCCCCGTCTTCGTAGCTCGTTCCTCGTCCTCCTGGCTATTTACTCTCCGAACGGCAAGGTTCCGTCATAACCGGACTACGCAGCCGCGGCCACAACCTCCTCGCTTGCAAGCGAGCTTCCTAAATTCTTGCGCATTGCACAATCGGTCCGTTGCAAATTTTTGCCACATCGAAGAGACGAGTGTGGACTTCGTTTTGAAATAGGAACTACTATTTCTAGTTTACTCATAAAAGCATTTGTATGCGTAGGGAAACGTACGGCACATACGTTGTATTCCTACACTGGGAAAAAAACACATTGGATCTAGAGTTCAGACTCTTAAAAACATCGACAAGAAAAAACACTCTTGATTCAATCAGATTTAAGCTGATTGAATCAAGAGTCCTTTTTCTTGTCAATGTTTTCAAGAGTCTGGACTCTAGATCCAATGTGTGTGTGTGTTTTATTTTACAATTTGCGCACTTCTGAGCTCCCGGCCTCTGAAAGTATACCATGGTCGCTTGGCGACTCATTCCGAAATTCCACAAATACACGATTTTATTAATTTAAAAAAAAGGAAATCACTTCCATCAGCAATGGTGCTGAGAAAATGGTTGGAAAGAAAAAGTACACGGCGGCCTCCTCATGTGACGTCAGGAAATCTGGCGGCGCGATGCTTTTCCGTTCGAAATAGGGTCGCGTTTTCAGCAACTGTGAAAGTCGTTTTCCTAGCTCAAATTAATTTTCAGGGGAAAAAACGGGAAATTCTGCGGCCCGATTATTGAAACTATGTCAGCCCGACACGACAAGACATAGCCCTATCTTAACCATGCAATATATCGCAATTCGATGTCTTATCGGGCTGGTTTAAATTTCAATAATCGGCCCGCAGGTTTTATCACTTTTTACCTGCTTTTCGGTAATGTACATATCAGTCCAGACTGACAGCCAGCTGTTCGGAAAGTGTTCTATTCATTAAATATCTGGGTCTTTTACATAACTCATCGGTTTATTCAACCCTCTATTTCTTTTTGTTTCAGAAAATGCAAGTTTCACAAAAAAGTCAACGTTTTGGCCAGCGACGTTCCATATCCAGGAGTGACTATTTTAAAACCGCTCACGGGGGTTGATCCAAACCTATTCAGCAACCTAGAATCCTTTTTCACCATGGAATATCCAACAGTAAGCTCAATATTCACTTCAGACGTACCTTGTTACCTAGCTGCAATCTTAAAATGAAATTAATTTTCCTTGAAGATGTTAATTTATGACCAAATCTGTGACCATGTTCTCACAGAAAGTGAGTTTCCTTTTCACAAATCTGGGTCACATTTTAACATGATCAGTACGAAACCGGAGGATTAAAATTGAAAGATATTTTATTGACTGAAAAATCGGCACTCATTCACCACTTCTATGATTTAGCTTTACTCATGACTTGATAATTTTCCAATATTATCCTCCTAATCTCAGTGGAAGAAAAAAGACTTGGAAAGGCTTTAAAAAAAAATTCAAATGGGTGAGCAGGTACATACCTATTTTCAAAAATTCTTGAAACTGATAAAGTATGGTAAAGGCATTAAACTCAAAAACTCCTATTCTTTACTTTCAAAGCGTAATTGGAAATGGGCACTTCTCTCCTCAAACCATGAATAATTTGAATATGGTAATTTAACTCGTTCGTACAGAATTTTATGATTATAGCTTTTGCTACCACTTCCATATTGTTTCGACCCAGTAAATCCTTCATCTCTTCTCTGGATAAATTCATCTAATGTGAATCTTATATCCACTGGCATGCAAAAAATTCAGTATGTTAATATTGATTTGAGCAATCGCAGCTTCAACTCAAGGTCAAATGTGCTTAGAATTCATTTCCATGCCAAGTATGAATTTTAATTAGCTATCTACTTATATCATACCAGTTACACCCACTAAATCGCTAACCCTCCAGCAAATGTTCTTTAAAATTTTATTGGTAGAAAGACAGATATGTAAATGAATTTCAAAACTATTGGAATGAACAATGAGTTTTTCTCCCTCCGATAAAAGATCCAGCCTTGTAAAATCCTTTTCTCCCTGCCCAATCTCTTAGGTGAAATTGTGTAATGCAGGCATATAATTCATTATTTTAACCTTTAAGGAAAAGAGAAAAAAATATTCATCGATAGATAAATTCTCAAAATCCTGAAGAAACCTGTTGAATTTATTGAAAAAATCATTTTTGTCACTGATTTAATGAAGCAGAATGAAGATATTTTGAAGCCAGATGTTTTGAAGCACATAAAATTGAGGGAATCTGGCAAATCTTTGACCATAACTAAGGAAAAGTTCCAAAAGTTTGACGTTAGAACATTATTAATTGTAAGAAATTTTAAGTAAATTGATGGTAAGTTACAAATTGTTTATCATCATAAAAAAAATCTTCCTCCATCTAAAGCCGTTGTATAAATACACTGAATTCAAGCTCTAGTAGTCAAATTTTGTGCTGTTCTGAGCAAGACTGTGTTTATCAAGTTTTTGGATTTATTTTTCTAAATTCTGGCTGATTTTCTTAGCAGAGGATGTCTATATTAGTTGTATCTAATGTCTCTGTGTTCTCTTATGTTTCAGTATGAATTAATGTTTTGTATAGAAGAAGAAAGTGATCCTGCCATTATGATTGTTAAAAAACTAATTGAAAAATATCCAAATGTAGATTCTAAAATATTTATAGGTAAGTTTAAATTTTACATTTATATTTTAAATTTAAAACATGATTATTTTCCTTCTACATCCTTGATAAATGTTTTATCACTATGATGAGTTTTACTGGCGATTAAAAATCCCTTGGGGGAAAGAAGAGTTTTTGGAGGGGCCCCTTACACATGGACCCAAACCAAGTCCACAAAGTGTGGAGATTTATAGCGGGAGAGGAGAAAAGATTTTTTTTTTATTTTTTCTTTGATCTCGGAAGAGGGAGTACTTCTGGTATAAGTACTACTGATGGGCCACTGGCCAAAGTAGGCAGTACACTCTTACTTCCTTTAAAAGTAAAAACACATTAAGTAGAATACGGAAAAACCAAAAAACAAAAATTGGAAAACCGATAAAAACAAACTAAAGTTTGTATTCATAAAGAAATTAATGGGTCTGTTGTAAGCAAGAGATACAGCCAACCGAATATTCTTTTAAGGGGGAAATTCGCTCGAAAATCACGTCGGGCACATCAAGAAAGTCTGAAATCCAGTCCTTAGCGTGCAATCTGCGGAGTTTGCAACATGCTTTTTCAAGTTTCCCGCGTCTGTGGGCAGTTTTTGTTGGTAGCAAGCAATCAGGTTTGCCTGAAGAGAGACCCAACTAAATGAACAAACAATCTCTTGAACTATCTTTCGTCAAAACTGTCGAAACTTTCCTTGGGGAAGGTTTTAATTGATTGAAAGCTTTTGTCTTTGCAAAGTAAAGAAATAAAAAAGAAACAAACGCTTGAAAACAAATGAAATCATACATAAGAAAAAGTTATTTAATCGTTAGTTTACTATGAGTAGTTCTTTCTTACTCTTCTGCCTGTGCAAACCTGATCGGCGGTGATAGAGACAAATTGCCCGCAGGCGCAGGTAACTTAATAAAGTGTGTTACAAACTATGCAGATTGGGTGCTAAAGAGCGAATTTCAGACTTTTTTGATGTGGCCAACGTGATTTTTGAGCGAATTTACATCTAAAATATTTATTTAGTTGCCTGTATCTCTTGCGAGCAACATACCCATAGATACCTACAAAGAAACGACCTAACCAACAGACCTCTACATTGATTGGAGCAACACAGAAAAAATTAAATTGCTGATTTAACAACAAAAAAATGCTACTTTAACGACTATTGTAAGCTAATTTAACCATTGGAGTGGTTAAAGTAGCATTTATGTGTTGTGAGATCTACATCGAAACATTGAAGTCACTTTTTTTTAACAATTGAATTGTTAAATCAGCAATTTAATTTTTTCCGTGAGGTAACTTTTTATTCCAAGGTCTTGTTCCCTGGTTCCTGTAGCCAGTGGCCATCTCTAAGGCCACTAAAATTGAATAGGAATGGATGACGCAGATACGATCGGAGGAAAAAAGATGAGTATAATATAAAAGCTCAGCTGAATGTAACTTCAATTTAATTCTAAAATCACCAAATCTTTTTCAGGTGGAGCCAATGTTGGTGTTAATCCAAAAATTAATAATATAATCACAGGTTACCAAGCTGCCAAACATGAGCTTTTTCTCATCTCTGATAGCAGCATACGAAGTAAGTAATTGTCAGCTAAATTATCTTGCGTATTTAAGTTGTAGTCAAAGCCTGTAATCTAGACTGATTACAGTTTGTATGTTCAAATCCAGATTGGTCAGAGGTTCCTCGCTCAAATCTGAAATTTTCTCAACAACTTAGTTTTTGTCTGGGAAAGTCCTCCTTTGACCATTGCTAGATCTGGTCCCGGTCAAACAAACAATTTTGTAAGAAAGTAAACGTTTAGGTATAAGGTTCCTCGTTCAAATCTGAAATTTTCTCAACAACTTAGTTTTTGTCTAAGAATATCCAACTTCGACCATTGCTAGATCTAACTCCGGGCAAATTAAACAATTTTGTAGGAAAGTATAAGTTAGAAACAGTATTAGTTTTGTAAGAATTGAGCTATGAGCAGACCAGAGACCTGTCTTTCCTTCCGTCAAAAACTCTATGAAACCGTGCTCCGATAAATTGTGTGGCATCTCTTTTTTTGAATTGTAAAGCTACAAACTTCAGGATATTCTATCTTATCTATACATCTGTTTCTTTAGTATTTTTTTTTTTTTTCTGACTTAAAATTTACTTTTTTATTTCAGTGAAAGAAGATACTCTGATGGATATGGTTCATCATATGACCGAAGGTGTAGCTTTGGTCCATCAAATGCCTTTTACCTGTGATAGAGAGGGTCTAGCAGCGACTGTAGAAAAGGTACCCCTCTTTTTGTATTATCAGTCATGGATCTGTAACAGACCATTTGTTCAGCATATGAATGTCAGTCTACTGAATAGCCTTTGACAGATGAAATAAGAAAAAAATCATGTGAAGCATCTGAGAAATGTCTAAAATGCACTCTGTTAACTCACAATTTTCATACTTCATATGGACCAAGTTTCTGTAACAAGTCGCATCTTGGGGGGGAAAAAAGCGAGCCTGGATCTGATTTGAATACCACTATTCACAAATTTTCCTCTGTCAAAAATCCAAAGTCGAAAACAAGTCTTATTTGAGCATGAAAATACCTAATTTTTAAACTTTGTCTGTAACACTGAGACTTATATAAGAATAAAAGTTCAAAGCTCTTTTCCTTGGTTCAAACTTTATACAACCTGGTATGTTTCTACGCTCCATGACACACATTTTGACATTAAGCCATATCTGCTTAGTACAGACTGCACAAATTGTGTATTTAAGAGTGAATTTGAGACATTTCTCACATGTGTAACGTAATTTTTGTGTGATTTTACCTATTGTTTGCTCATTCTACTGTGTCTTTTATGTGCAAGAGTGCAACACTGCCGTGCTGAGGAAGAACGCTGTATGAGCCTTTGGATGTCGCCAGATTTCCTATGACATAATACAAATTTTTTAGGAAACTTGTAAATATTTTTCCTTTGATTATTTAGAGAATTTTATTCGCAATTAGATCTAAATCGTCTGAAAATTTCAAGATAAAATATTCATAACTTCTTTTAAAAGTAAACTTTTCATTTGAGGAAATTTGGAAACCTATGAATGTTCTAATGGATTTTTTCCTTAGCACAGCACTTGCCTTGACTCATTTCCATTATCTATGCGTAGCCTTATTCACTTTTACATTTTAATATCTCAGCAAGGATCATAAGAAATAAGAATAAATAAAAAGTGTCTATTGCACCTCTTACTAAAAGCTGTTAGTAGAAGTTTTGAGGAACCATCTTAAAATTTCAGTATTGGTTGTCAGATATTTGATCCCTCAAATTACATAACCTTCTTCAAAATCTTTAATATTTAATTTCGATGAACGTTTCCAGTTATCTTGTAGTGATTCCATTTTGTGTTGCTTTTTAGATTTTTTTTGGGACGTTTCAAGCAAGGATATACTTAATTGCTGACCTGCTGCAAATTAATTGTCATACGGGTATGTCAGCTTTAATTCGAAAGAGCGCAATGGAAGAGGTTGGTGGGCTGCAAGCGTTCGGATGCTACCTGGCTGAGGACTTTTTCTACGCCAAATCTTTGACTGATCGAGGGTACAAAACCTGTGTTAGTAGTCAGCCTGCATGGCAAAATTCTGGTTTCTGTGAAATCACTAGTTTTCAAAATAGGTTAATGAGGTAAGTTTGGATCCCCAAATCAGGGCTTTAATCGTCGTTCCTATAGTTGCTCTCTGCAACCTTAATCATTTCAATCTCTCCTGTATGTTTTTTTTGCTAAGAGGAGCGCCAGCATTTTACTGAGAATCCCCTAAAATTCAATGCATCTGTGATTTCCTAAATTTTAAATTTCTCCTGGGAACACGGATTTTCAAACAAGTAGCATAAGTTTATGCTTATCATGCTCAATTGATTTGGTTGTGAGGATAGTTTGATGCTAGGGGAAAATTTGTAGATATCTGAAAGTTTATCACTCTATTTAAAAAATGAATCCAGTGAGAGAGCTGAAAACAAGGATGTCATTGACCGATGAATCAGATAAGTAAATACTAAGGGAGTGTAAAAGAATGATACAACAAAAATGATAAAGGCAAAATACACATGTCCTAATAGGAAATATTTCTTTATCATTTTACTGTAAGGTACAATCTCTCCTTTTTTAATGCATTTTCTTTAGTTTCAGGCATCAGAAATTTTTTTAAAAAATACTGTGAACTCAGCTCTTAAAATAAAAACTTACATACATACATACATACATACATACACCCTTACATACCATATTTCGATCTCTCCTTTAAGGTGTTAATGGCTAAATTGTTAAAAGCACCAAATAAACGTATCTACCAACCATACATACATATGTTAAAAGCACCAAATAAATGTATCTACCAACTAACCATACATACATACGTACGTACATAAAAGCTGCTTTCTTAATGCTCCTTGGCAGTTTGCGACACCTGGACACCAAAATCACTCAGTTTACTCAGTCAACTTCTATGTGTAGTAATCAAATTTTCTCGTAAAATTTCTTGATTGTATTGATATGAATAATTACTTACTTTTACTTTACTTGACTTAATAATCACATACTCATCCCATTTTTACTTGCAGATGGACCAAATTGCGCATCGCAATGGTACCTCACACAATAATTTTGGAGCCTTTATCAGAGTGCTTTATAATCGGAGCTTTCACAGCGTGGGCTGTTTCCTATCTCTTGTACTGGGACCCTCTTGTATTTTATCTAGTTCATATATTAGTCTGGTTTCTCTGTGACTGGGTACTTCTATCAGTAGTTCAGGTAAGATTAGTTTTTAAGATGGTTTCCTCAAATTTTGCACTTTTTTCTACCTCCCCCTTTCTCTTGAAAATTCAGGCTGAGAAAGTATGTGTATCCATTTTTAAAAGAAAGCTGTTGTCCTTTCCTGTGTGTCAAAATGGTTGCAACTTTTGCTAGAGCAAAAATAAGAGTCGTTACTCATAGAAAATGTCTCAAAAATCACGATGAGCGCATTGGCCAAGTCTGAGATGCACTCCTCACTTCACAATTTGCATAACAAATTTGCGTTTGCAAAACAAAGGTGTATTTCAGAGTTTGCCAATGCGCTCATTGTGATTTTTGAGACATTATCTGTAAGGAACAACTCTTATTTTTGCTCTAGCAAAAGTTCGCCACAGGCCCATTGATGCGTTTGGCGCAAGGAGAGCATGTTCTGGAAAACTTTGATTTGAAATATCAGTGTTCGATAGTTTCTGAGCACATTTTTGCACGTACATTTTACAATAGAAAACTTGATAGATTTTTTTTCTAACCATTTGCATCCTCACTTTAAAAAAATCTTTTAAAAAAATTTAAATTTTGACTGAATTAAGGACTGAATGTATACATAATAAACAAAAATCCTCACAGCACGCTGAACTCAAAATATTTTCAAATTAATTTTGAACGCTTGTGCATTGCTTCAATGTCCCAGCAATGGAGAAGAGTCAGCATTACGTTTATGATGAAGGAAACTTAAAATTGAAAACGTACGAACAAAACCCTTCTTTAATTTAAAGCAAAGTCAATAAAGTATAACTTGTTCCATAGTTGAATTGGTTTCTGCTAGACGAGTATAAGTGAAAAAATCCTGAGCCGTGGCTTTCGTTTCTCGCGCAGAATGCTAGGGCTCATGAGTTTTTGGACTTAAACCTATCTAACAGAAACCGATTCGCTTGCTGTTGTTACTTTAAAATACTTACACCCTGTCAATCCTTGCCTTTAGCGTAGATTTCTCCGGCAATTAGATAACCATTTTTCTCTTTCTATCTTTCTAGAACGGTTCGTTGCCTTTCAAGAAATTCGATTTTGTCATCGGCTGGCTTTACAGAGAGATCGGTGGACCATACTTATTCCTGCATGCCTTATGGGATGACCCAGCCATCAAATGGCGATCGAGAACTTACAAACTCAAGTGGGGAGGAGTCGCAGAAGAGTATCGTCCCAAAATCAAAATCTAAATGTGTGCACTCACTTTGTTGTTTTTTCAGTATTTTTTTCTGGTTGTTTACCTCATCCAAAAGTTCTGATGCAGGTAGCTAGCTAATCATCTGCTGTCTTATCATCAAATTTCACACCAAATCCTTCATGAACGAGATAATTTTTAATGATGAATGAAAAATACTCACTTAAAGGGCAGGATGTCACTATTGATTCAGAGTTCAACTATCTCTCGAAAGACCAAGAAAAAAAGAAACCGGTGAAGCTGATTCAATCACTACAAGTAAAATTGTAAGGAATGGTTTCAGACCGAAATTTTACCAAAGAAACTACTGTTGCGGTCTTTTGACAAGTAAAAAAAATATCAAATTACTGACACCTTTGAAGTACATCCTTTATTTTTTCTGTTTCTAAAAAATAAATTTTGTCAGTGGTGGTACATAATCGAATACTTGGCTGTTGAAAGATCAGAACTCGATTGGTTTGTTTAATATTCCATCACTTCTTTTAAGTTTGGTGAATTAAATCAAAGCCAATAAAACTCGTTCCATGATAGGCAATGGGACTGTTGCAAGACTATGAATTGCATCTCAAGTGCTGTCTCCGTGGGAAATTTGACTAAGAATCGTGTTTCTGAGCTTCTAAAAGATCAAAACAGTTTTTTTTTTTACAGGAAAAATACGGGCCTTGAGTCAGAATAGTAAACTTTTTCTTTTTTAAAGGAACTTTTCTGATTTTAAACATATGAGTTGTTTTTATGGTTTAAACAGGTGTGTTCACAATCTTCGGTGGTATTAAAAGCAAGATTACAATATAAAACCTTTCATGATTTTTACTAGAAGGTCAGTAAACACCGTGAGTTTGGAGGCACACAGCTGTTAATTCTTCATGTGACATCCTGAAATATGTTGGCACTCTATTTTTCTGTTTGAAATAAGACTGGAATTTTGGAGTCTCTGAAAGTCGTTTTCTCAGCTAACATTTGATAACCTAAAAGATGGGAAATTATGAGTATTCTCATTTTCTTCGTACTTTCCTGAAATTAATTGAAATCAAATTGTGCAGCAGCCTCATTGACTTATTTTAAAAGATTGTGGCATGACAAAACGACGGTGAAACTACATACACACGTCTCCGGTTTGGGACGCTGGAGATCTCCTGTCATACTTTATTTTATGAATGGGAAAATACTCAACTTCATCTCTTGAAAATTTCTCCGATTTTTCTTTCTTTGTGGGGAAAACGGACCACGTTTTGCAACTAGATCCTACAATCTCTGACTCATGTTCGAAACAAGATATGTGCCATTAATTTCCGTATGCTGATAAGTATTTTTATGTATGAGCCAGAAATTGCAGTTCCTTTTTGCAAAATAAAGTCCAATTATTCTGTGAAATTGTTAAGAAATTGTGTTGGTTTGTTCACCTTTGATAAAATAAATCGGAGACTGGAACACAGTAAATGAAGTAGGCCTTTTTTGAAGTTTCACTGTCGGTGAGAGTTTTAAACATTTCCTCTATTGGCAAATCCTCCTGGTTGAAATTTTGATGATGAGAAGGCGGTAAGTGGTGGTCCATTTTTAACCACAGTTGCCTTCTCATTTTGAATAAGTCTTTCATTGTAATGATCAATGTTTATCTTTTGTAACCGCATGTTTCTTTTATTGTACTTTTTGTAAATATCCTATGATAGCTGCACCAAAAAAACAGCATATGACCCAAAAAATACAATGGGGCATCCATTATATTGAAGAAGTTTTTGCGTTGAAACAACCATGAAGCTGCTCTCAGGGATAAGTAAGCAGTAACCCAATGCTAGTTATCAAACCTCTCGTAGAAACCAAGGCTATCTTTTTGATTAATGTTTTTATCAATTTTATTTGTGAATAGCACCGAATGTTACAGAGACGGCTTAAGATAGCATTCGTAAAAAATTACCATTTTCATTGGTTTTTTAAAAAAGACTTCTCAATGTAAGGATACAATAACGAAAAAGTCCTTTAGGAACTTACTAATATATACTTAGCAGTGATTCTCAAAATGTATGGATGTAGGAAAATTTTTCCTTTAAATCAAGGGCTTGCCGATCCTTTTTGCAATACACTGAAATTTGACCCTTTAAAATGTGAAAGACACCAACATTTTTAACTGCAATCCTCAGTAAAAGTTAAAAATTACTTCTAAAAGAAGAAAAATTCTCCCTTTTCGTAACAAACATGATAATTTTGTATTTATTTTGTTTCCAATCATGAACTTATCATGGCTCATGAATTACTTTGCCATTATGGGGAAACGCGGTATGAATATTCTAACATTCTCAAATTTTCTCTGATAAAATATTTATTTCTAAAAACAGTTATGAATTTTTTTCTTCAAAATTTTTCAATCAATCAGATCACATTATATTTAAAATTCTATGATAGTTTTGAAGGAAAATAAATCTAATTTATCAAGAAAATTCGGTTTCATGAGCGGAAATTTGGAATGCCTGTATTTTTATTCCGTATCTTCCTTAACACAACAGAATTGAAAATTAAGGTCTTAAAGATTAAATATTGAGATTGGAAAGTTGTTTAAAGAGCAATGCTCACTTCATTTCTCTCTGCTTTAATCATTCCTGTTTCATGGATGTGTATTTTTTGTTTAACCGATTTGATGGGTCAAGTTAACAAGGCTAACTTTCTATGAGCCAAACCTCCCTTATTTAACTTTAAATCATCAATAATTGAATCTACTCTTGCAAAAATGTTCAATATCCATGACATTTTTTCAGATTTGCAGTAGTTTGTTTTGCCTTATGACACAAATTAAGGTCTGTGTTTATCGTAAATTTTTTATTTTACAAGTGGGACTGAAAATAAAATTACTCTACATTTCCAAGGTCTCAGGCCAGTTTTATACTTTAACTTAAAATGAAGTCGCCTGACTTGAATTTTGAAACACAGTTAGACTCTGGGCGTTTTACATGAGCAGATGCAATTCTTGATAAGTTGATAATTTTCTATTCTTTTGTCTTTGTTAATCATTCATCCAAGAAATTTTCTTTGATCCTGCTGGCGTGGCTACTGAGTTACTAAAAATAATAAGTTTGCCCCCTCACATCCGATGTGTACAATTTTTGTAAATATTTATTGAGCCTTAAATCGCAGCTGTGTATTTTACTCGAATATACTTATTTTGGATCAGTTACCTTTTTGCTCCTGTGAATGTCAATCTATTGTTGTGTAAATGCTTTTTTAGATTTTCATTTTATGTCTGCACCAACTGTGAGCGCCTCACTTATTTTATTTACTGCAAGGTTGCCAGATTGTTCAATAAAATTTCCGTACTTTTCATTGAGTTTAACTGGGAAAAAACAGATTTTTAGTGCAATCTGGTAACCATGATTTGCTGGCTTCTTTTTTTTGTCTTTAAGTGTAAGGATTCAATTGTTCCTCTCAACTTTTTGCGAGTCTGTATTGCTGGTTCTCATGCCTTCCATTTTTTCTGTGCTGAGTTACAAAAGGATCAAAATCAACCCTACACTGTGGCTGAAATGTGTTGCACTGTACAATTTCACAACCTCATTGAGTTTTTTTCAACTGTAAAAATGCAAAAAAAATGTATTGTGGTACTTAATTGCCAACCCTGTTTAGCAATCCATTGGAAAATACATAGATTGCACAAGTGTTATTTATTGACTCCTTGCTCTCAAAAGAATTTGCAAAGCAGTAATCCAGACTGGCGTAGCTGTAGGGCTTGTCATAAAATTTTTTCAATGTTTTTGTAGAGTGACAGTTCAGAGAAACACTGTAGGCTAAATCATTCTGCCGGTATATTTTAAGATTTGTCATTTTCTACTCTACCAGTCATGGAAAGCCCTTATTTTAAGCAAAAACAAGGATTTTACAGAATTATGTTCATAGAGTCTATGTCAAATAAGTTTATGCACTTTCAGACTGACAGAAGATCTTGATTTTTGCATTTACTTTCAATGCAAAACTGAAATTAGGCAATGTTCTGTCGCAGTCTAAAAGTGCGTACACCTATTTGACTTGGACTTGACCGTGAAATTTCTTGCAAGGAAGTCCGCTAGACAAAAATGTTTTGTAATGAGCCCCTTTAACGGGTAAGTTGTGGGATACATCCGGTCTTTGGAAGTCAGCGACTAAAAATATTGGAAGTAACATGATTGAGGTTTAACTGTAATTTTATCAAGGCGAACGATTCGAATGGCCACTTTCAATTTTTACATCATATCTTGAAAATGACATACCTGGTTAAATTTACCGTGTCCCAACCAGAAAATACCTTTTAAAGGTCTGAATTAACTTCAGTTGCGATTACTGCCAGTAGCTGCTCTCTTCGGATGACCGGATGACTTACACAACGCACCTGTATCTCTATGTTGATAATTTCTCAAACATTGTAGTGTGCCAAAAAAGCATGTTGTACTTTCAATGGCTCGCTTTTTGCATTGTATTTCAAATTGTTGGTACTTTGATGTGTAACGTACGTATGTTGATATCCACATGAGCTTCTCATTTCAAAAACTAGTTTTCCTTTGTGCAGATCTTAATTTTATAACCTCACATTGTGCACTGAAGAGGCTTTTGAACTTGCCCTCTCCTTCCTCTTCCCCTGAAAAAAACTTCTTTTTTAGAGAGAGAAAGAAAACAATTGTGCTGTTAGACTGATTCTGTTAAGCCAGTAATGTTTAAATTTTTTACTCCATGAAAAAAAAAAATAAAAGAAAATATTTTTGAATCCCAAAAAAATTCAAAAAATTGTGAAACTGTGGCACAGAAGCAATGTGCCATGGAAATGAGAAGTCTTTGTGGTTTTTTTGTGTCAAAACTCACTAATGTACAGCCAAATTTTTTCAGATTTGTTTATTTTCTCTGTTAAAGAAGTAGGTACTGGCATATGGTAAATACTTTGTCTAAAGAAAATAATTTTTCATCGTGGGAATGGTATTCAATGATATCATGAAGCATTGTTTTTTCTTCTTTTTTTATCATTTGGTCTTTGATAATCCTTATTATTCCTTTAAGTTCTCTGATTTTAATTGAAAGTCATCACTCATGAAGGTCACTATGTGCTACATCTTATCATTGAAACAGATATTAGCATCAACTTTTTTTTGGACCGGTTTCTTCGGCTATTTATACAGATTTATTTTAAGCTCAAATCAGTTTCTTAATAATGAATTCTGACATAGTTAATTGTTTAATTGATTGATTAATCAATAATTAATTATTATTTTTTTAAAGTTGTAACTGTGATGTACGATCAGAGGTTCCAATTTTTCCAGTTTTTTTCCTGGCGTTAGTTGTCTAAGAGAAATTGTCAGGATATACCCTTTGATCATGCGAAAAATCACTGCGGTTGCTTTAAATTTGTTTACCATATTCTTATTCAAGCTATTAAAACCCTGGATAAGTTAGCTTTAAATTATATGATTAGTTTCAAGTATTCTGCCACCCTTATAATTTTTGTGGGGAAAGCTCATGGAGCACTTGGTAACTTTATTTTCATCTCTTTTTTCATAAACCATCTTTTTTTTTGAAAAATCAGCATGAGCTGACTTCACCTAGGCCTTTTCGTAATGTTGTAGTTTGTCTTTTGGATCATAATGAGACTTGAAGCTTCTAAAAGCAGTTGCTAAAATCTCTCACATTTTCAATCAATGTATGTTTTTATTAGTGGCATGAGATAATATATGTCATAAAAATTCAGAAGAAAACAAAAATTCATATGTCTTTTATCTTAAAAAATTTACAGTCTAAGAACATAGCAGATGCTTTTTTTTCTTCTGTAGATCTGAGACAGAAATGAACAGGCAGAAATATTTTCACAGGTGAAGTGTTTAGTGGTTCACCAGATGAAAAATAGTTCTAAGACTAGGAACTCAGCTTCCATGGTTACGGCTCTAGTTACTGCAAATATGTTTAACGTGTCAGTTGTAAACACCACCAATTCTTCTCTGAGCCGTACTTTACTATTTGAAAGTGCCAGGTTTCTGTAGCAAGTGTCTCCAAGATGTCAAAGAAGCTCATCGTAGAAAAATGTTTGTCCTCTCTCCCTCAACATTTCAGTGTTTTCCAATTTTTTCCTCCTATATTTTTTCAAAGAACCCTGCATCCATTGAAGTGTTGTCAATCAAAATGTTGCATGCTTTATCACAAATTTTTAATCTGAGCACTTGTATGTTTTAATTTTTTGAAAACCTGCGAGGAAACTTATGGCATACCATGTCTTATATTGTAAGTAGGCTTGATGTAAAGGAGCCAGACAAACGCATAGGTTGTAAATAGAATAATGATTTGTATTTTTTTAATGAAAAACAATATGAAAAAATTGAAAATGGAAAAAAAAAACTTTTTTAACAAGATATGTAAAACGGTAATAATAAAGTGATTTTTTTCTTTAATATGAAATTTTGTAATTTTCAATTCCTCTGAGTTCTAAGAGCAGTCAGAAAGTAATTAAAAGTGCTTTCTACGCTTTTTGATCTTCGTCTCCCATTTATAATGCATCTTGGATGAAACACAGGATTCTTTTTGATGCTTCTTGCAGTCATAATAGGAACATGGCCTCTGTTGCTTTCCAAAAACGATTCCACATATTTCCTATATGTTAGCCTGAAGAGAAAATTCTCAAATTATTACAGTCAATTTCATGCCTCTCTTAGTTCCCTTCGGATGTTAAACTCAGGGGTTTTTTCCACATTATTTGAATGATTTGTCAAATTGTTAGTCACCAATTGTCCTATAACATAAATGCATATCCAAATTTATTAGGTTTAAATAGCAATAAAGTATTGAGGATTTTATTTTAATGAAATGCATTACCAGTCTGATTTTTCTTGTTTCATTTGTATTCATGCTCACGGTGGACTTGACTAGAGACTAAAATTAGACTTTTTTGGGGAAGGGGTGGTAGAAGAGAGGTAAAAAAAGGAGGAGAAGGTTAAAAGAGGAACAAGATTATGGTTTTTAAATTTTTTTATTCGGAATAAACTTCCTTAAACTCTAAATTTTAATACAACAATAAAAAATAAAAACAATTATATTATTCTTTATTTAGACGAAACTAACTGTAGTATATTCCTCTCATTTTCTCACACTAAAGGTATATGAATAATTCAGAACTGCAAAATAGTAGGTAAGGAAGATAAGTTGAAATAAAATTGCAACTGTTTTAGCGCAAGGTGGTTGGTTGAAAATAAATTACGGGGAGGATAACAATGATATGAAATGCGATTTGGTATGAGTTTTGAATGGGAAACCTAGGGTTTATTTTCCACGCTTCAAATACCGCTGGATGTTTTGCAAAACTCCTCATTATGTATGCCTGAAACAAAAATTAAATTCACTATCACTTAAGAACGAAAGGAAGTTATAGAAGGTAAGCAAAAACCAACTAAGCACCTCAAAGAGCATCTAAAAAAATAGCGTTGAACCCATTCTTCGATCTTTCTCCAGAATGCATTTCAACACATTTTTATTCTACGGATTAATACATTGCTTTAAGCTCTTTGCGAGTCAGCGAAATTTTAGTTGTTAAAAAATCCCCTTACTCCCAAGTAGCAGTGATCAGAGTCGGACTGGCGTAAAAAAAGTTAGGCAGCTACTAGGATTTTGGGGCCCCTGACGTAAAAACTAGGCCCCTATGGGGGGTCTGGGGGGTTGCCCCCCAGGGATGGGGGGGTCCGGGGGTCCTCCCCCGGAAAATTTTGAAAATTTAACCCCTGAAAATAGAAGTTTTAGGCTCTCTTCGCATTGAAATTTGATAAATAGCGCCTCCGAAAATGTTACCAATTTTTTAGATATTTTTTGAAAAATTCGGCGATTCCTCTTGTTGATAAAGAAGCACATAACCTCCTCAAACTTTACGCATGGGCCTCGGCTGGTATCTTTTCAGAGGCCCCGCCCCTGAAGTTACCTTCTCCCGGCTGCAGGGCCAGTAGGGGCGCCTCCAAAAAGAAGTCATCTTAAAGTGAGTAACCTTCAAAGACCGGAAAAAAGAGCTTTCGAGACCCAGAAGGGCCCCTGAAAGTGAAACTCTTTTTTTCGAGCCCAGGGTTAGGGGCCCCTGCTGACATATTTTCAAGGGCCCCAGAAGTGACCTTCTTCGGGCTATAGGGGTCTCAGAGAAAGAGTCATGCTGTTTAAAGTAAAAAACCCTTAGAGGCCGGGAAAATATAGCTTCGAGGGCCGCTCCAGGGCCCTTGAAGCTCATATTTTCCGATCGCTGAGGGGCCCTTTCAGGGGCCCCTGAGGTTACCTTTTTCCGGCCGTAGGGGCCTCAGAGAAGGTGTTATGAGTTAAACCCTCAAGGACTGAAAAAAACGAGGGGTTTTCAAGGATTCATTTCATTTATTGAAGAATAAATTCAAGGATTTTTTTCAAGGATTTTTCACTTTTTCATGGATTCATTTCATTTATTGAAGAATAAATTCAGGAATTGTCGGCTCAGGGGCCCCGTCGGGGCCCCTGAGCCGACAATTCTTAGGCAGCGATCGCTGCCTAGCTGCCTTAGCCAGTCCGGCCCTGGCAGTGATCGCGATAAATAGCGATTTTATCGGTTGATTATCGCGATTATATCGGTAGCAATTTATCGCAATATTATCGAATAAAAAATTACGATTTATGGCGATTAAATTGCTATGCATCGCAATTATTTGTTCAATAAAATCGCGACCAATTTTCGTCGATAAACTCGAGATTAAATCGCCATATATCGCGATTTTTGTTGCGATAATATCGCTATAAATTCCCGGGCGATAAAATCGCGATTTTATTGCAACAAGATCGAGGATAATCGCTCAGATGTTGATGATCTTAGCGACTGTATCGCCGACAAAATCGTAAGAAATCGCGATTTTTCCGTTGAAAAATGCTACTTGGGCTGCAGGGTAATTTATCAGGGTGTCTACGTTCGTACCGACCAAATCCATACAATTCGACAGGGACATGGATTAACTTTATAGAGTCAAAATCGAAAGTTTTCTGATCGGTCTGAAATGAAGCTAAGCCTCTCAGAAATGACCCACTGAGTCAGATTTTACGGTCGAAACTGTTCCTAGAGTTCTTGGAAGCTCATACAATCGGCGCACAGTGGATCGAGTCAGGAAGGTCGGACAAGAAATTTTGGATTTGAACTGCTAATTTTGATGTTAATTCCGTCACATGATAAATAAGGGGTGCCCCTAGAAGAGAATTTCACGAGAAAACCAATGGAACCACTTTAAGAACCTCTAAGTGTTATATGAACGGTGTTATAAGCGCTTAAAGTTTCCGAATTTTTTTCCGACCTCCTATTGACTCGATCCATTGTGCGGCGGATAATCGGATGAATGTGAAAGGGTAAAAACACTCGTTTCTCGGCTCAGGGAGCTTCGACGAGTCTCCGGATCAAGCGCAATCGATTCTACGCTTCGAGCCTCGTAGAATTCGACCATTATCTCGACTTTTTTCCCGTCCGAAATTGAGAAAAATCGATGGACCCAAGTAGCAGTGATCGCGATATATAGCGATTTTATCGATTATATCGGTGGCAATACATCGAGATAAATCGCATTAAAAATTGCGATATATTGCGATTCAATCACTACGCATCGCAATTTTTGGTTCGATAAATTCAACATTAAATCGCCATTTATCGCGATTTTTATTTCGAAAATATCGCGATAAATTGCCGGGAGATAAAATCGCGATTTTATCCGATTTATATAAGATCGAGGATAATGGCTCAGATGTTGATGATCCTAGCGATTTTATCGCCAATAGAATTTCAATATATCCCGATTTTTCCGTTGAAAAATGCTACTTGGGCAGAGGTTACATAGAATATTTCAGAACATCATAAATACCTCGGACCCAAAAAACAATTCCGATTGATTCACACTGCACGTTAAATACTAGGTGATGCTTTGAGTAAAAATATTTGTTAAGGCACTTACACGTCATTTTGAGAAAGTCACTGCGTCAAAGAGAATTTCGTTTTGTGACCAGAAAAAAAGTACGGAGCCATTATACTAATATTCACGTTCTCACAGCGGCAAAATCTAGAAAAGAATTGAGGAAAGTCCGGAATAAGAAAAATGAAACAATGATTCAAATGGAAAAGGTAAAAGTTAGAAGAAGGTGTCGAGTCTGAAAATATCCAAAACGCTTATGTGCTACCCTGCTAAAAATGGTGAGTACACATGAGTAGAAAATCAAAGTCATATGAATAGAATTTCAACTCCTATGAATAGAATTTCAACTTATATGAATAGAATTTAACTCAAACGAGAAGAATTTTTCAATCAGAGCTTCAGTTTGATGGCTCAATTTGATCGTGTAACTGAACCTTATTGTTGGTATGTTGGAGTGGCTTCAATTTCGTATAATACTGTACAACACCTCTATTGTAAAATAGTGAAGCGCCCTGGCACTTGACACGCTGCGGCGCGGCCAGCCAGCCAGCACGGAACGCGAATTGGCGCCTACAAACCTAAGGGATACCTCAAGCATTGCGCAATGCGTGAAGTATCTACTTAGGTTTGTAGGCGCCAGTGCGCGTTTCGTGCCGGCAGCACGTCGCATCACTCCGCTTTATGCTAGGGCCTATTATTTAAACTCACGGAGTCAGCGTTTTTCAACTAATGATTTTCATATGTTTGCACACTCTGCATGGATTACTTTAATTTAAATTGATAAAAAATTATTTATATGAAAGGAAAATTTAATGTGTGTTTTGTAAATATTAAGGTGTTTTCTTGTCGTATTTAATGATTTTCAAAGCAAATTAATTTTTTCTTGTATATTTTGAGCTTTTACTGTTCTACAGCGTGGTGTGAGCGCAACCAAACGCTCAAAATAGGACGTATTTGACTCTGAAAGATCGATGTACAAATGGGCTAAAACCGAAGATTGCGTGCTTCTCGGTTTTTTCCCTCTTTTATTCATTTGTGCATAGTTTTTTTCGACACAACTACTGCCCATTTACTTTAATATCGATGCCATCGCTTGGAAAAGGTTTTAAAAATATTTGCCAGGTTTTAAAAATGTAAATGTTTTTAAAATAAAGTAATATTTTCATTTAAAAAAAGTATTCATAAGGTTTATTTTTCATCGAGAATTTTATGGATGGGTATAAAACCAAATATTCACCCATGACAATTTAAAAAGATTGATCAAAGGAAGGAAATAACATTTCATTTAAAAAATGAGTTACCACAACAACTCTTCCGTCTCTCTCAATTTTCTCATTTCATTATTTTCAATATAATTTCACATAAGGACTAAAATATGACACTTGGACCAAGTCACTGTTGCTTATTTCACGCGTGGACGTAAACTACTGGACAAAACAGGTGTGCGGACAAAAAATCGTTGACGGAATGCCCTGAAACCCCTTTTTGCACCAAAATTATCCAGTAAAACTTGGCAACAGCAGATATCCCTTGGTTCTTTTTAGGAAAACACTGCGTACCTCAACCTTTATCCACTTCTCGACTCCATGGTATGCCAACGCAACAATAGATGGACTAATACTTAAATGTGAAGCAGAATCCCTTTGGTGAAAATGCAATTTAATGCAACAGCACTGAATTTTCTTCTAAACTCGCTCTAACATTATTAAACACACCGTATGCCCATGGCTGTTAGTTCTTAGTTCTGACGTGCTTTACGATATATCGATTGATCTGCCATTTAAACCTATGGAGAAGGATCGAAAAACAGGATGTTCGGAACGAACACCTTAATAATCGAATCTTTAACATAGCTTCAAATGGGGAAAAATCGATAATCGATCACTCACGCCTTGCCATTGCTCGGATGATCCTCACCTTGAAAACTAAGCGCGGAGTCGATATCCCTCTTTTCCCTGGAGCTGTCGAGAGTGTAGTCCTTGAGGGCGTCGATGAGTTCTTCAAGCCTGTCATCCTCGGAGTACTTCTTGCCTCTCATGCCGATGAATCCGCTTGGAGCTTTCTTGCCCCTCACCCCGAAGAAATTCGCATTAGAGGGTGCTTTCTTTCCCCGCACCCCGAAGAAGTTCGATCCGGAGGGCACCTGGAAGACCACAACAAAAATGTTAAACCCGCTCTAAATACAGTGCAGTTGGCGTGAACGCATATTAGCGCCTTCAAGACTCATGAAATACTTCACGCATTGCGCCAAACAGTGCCGACAGCGACAGGCCGACTTGGAACACGTATTAGCGCCTACAAGACTGTAGAAATACTTCACGCATTGCGCGTACACCACTTCGCGCTTTAATATTCGTTATTTCTCGGTGTTAGACGTACCGCCCTCGGCGTACACTGAAAAAAAAACACACTGGATCTAGAGTCCAGACTCTTAAAAACATCGACAAGAAAAAGTGCTCTAGATTCAATCAAAATCTAGCTTTAAATGAAGAACCAAGCCTCTTAATTTAAGCGGATTTCGTTTTGATTCAAGCAAATATCCGATTGAATCAAGAGTATTTTTTCTTTTCAATGTTTTCAAGAGTCTGGACTCTACATCCAATGTGTTTCTTTTTTCCAGTGTACGCAATATTTGACCAGTGTACACCGCGAGCCTGCAGTCGTGACATCCAGTGATCATTTTTATTTTTGACTCAGTTTTTGCATTAGTTTACTCATTTTTGCGAAAAATTGCTCACTTACGAACATTCTTGGCCATCTCGGTTTGATATTGGAATCTGAAGATTGGAAGTGATATTTTTTGCATTAGAAGGTTGGCTGCTCTTTTGGACTCTAAGAGCTCCACATTTCGACGTGTCCGTACTCTCTATATTGGGACGCGTTAAGTAGAAAGGAACCAAGCCACATCAGCTATTACCAACTTTAATTGGGCACTTTAATTTTCTTCATGAAAACGGCCGTGCGGATTGTTTTGCAAATTTCAGTGAATTTTCTGCACAGTACGAAACAAATTCCTCGAAATTTTCATAGGAATCCGCACAAACGTTCACTTGTTAACAATAAAATTGCCAAGTTAAACTTGGCAATAGCTGATGTGGCTTGGTTCCTTTATGCTAAACGCGATCCATACTGCCATACTGAGTAAGAACGCCATATAAGCCTTCAGGCGTTGCCAAATTTCCTTTAATATAATACAAATTCCTTCGTAAGCCTCCGCATTTTTATCTTCCAGTCTTATGGTAAATTTTGTTTGCGATTCCGCCTAAATTTCCTGAAAATGTCAATGTAAAATTCTAATAACTTTCCTCGTAAATAAACAATTCAAAGCGCGAAGCATAACTTGCAATGCTTCCCTTTACGCTGCTAGTGAAATGTCTATCAGATTCGGTAGAAATATTGAAAAACTAGGGCCGATTACGTCTCTCCTATCTTCAGCTGTGTTGTTCACGTAGCCCTTGAAGCACCGCTACACAAATGTAACGCAAACGGAACCAACCCAACAAGGATATGGAGCAAAGGAAATGAGATGCGATGGTGACGGCGCAGAGATACAACTATTCGTGCTTGATGGATATCCGTGTTGCGTTTGCAAAATTGAAGGCGCGCTGGCACAAGGCGTGTCGTGAACTCGCAACACCCTGCTTTCGACGCAAGGTACTCTTGCAGTTTTTTCGACGTGTTCTCACCTTTTTGCCGCGCATTCCGAAGAAAGCCTGCGACGGCCCCCGCTTTTCACCAACTAGATAGGGGGCGATCCCTGCGTCGAGGAGCTGGAAGTCGGCGTCGGAGTAGTCGAACTTCTTGCCGCGGGTCCCGACGAAGCCCATGAGGCCGTTGTTGGTCTTCTTCTTGCCGCGCATCCCGTGGAAGCCCATCGGGGCCCGCTTCTCGAGGCCGGCGTAGTCGTAGACGTCGCCCTCGTGGACGAGCTCCCCGGAGCCGCCGCCCCCGCCCCCGCCGAGGGGGCCCTCCTTCTTGTCCTGGAGCTCGTAGTCGAACGACGACCGCTTCTCGATCGCCCCGCAGCTCGGCGCCGGGCCCAGACCCAGGAGCGTGAAGAGGCTCAGAAGCAGCAGCGAGTACATCCTGCCAACACACACAGGAGCATCAGTCATTAGAGGGGTTAGCAAATGGATATGAGAACGCACTCACCGACAAGTTAGTCCAGTCAAATTAGATCAAAAATCTCGGATTAGGGGAAAAAATTCCCATACAAGCGATTTTTGGCTAAAGTTGCTTTTTAGGGTCTAGAGAGGCACAGGCTAAAAGTCCCCATCTATACCCATTGTGCTTAGCCCCCCAGCCTCCCCCCAAAGCCCCCCAAAAAGGCTAAAAAATCGGTTTTTCGGCTATATCTCGTGGACGGTTGGAGATAGCGAGTTGCGTATCATTTGGAAAATGTTCCTCATCAAATTCTGCAAAAAGTACATTAAGCATGATATTATCATAAAATACTGCCGTGATAGCGAAGAGAGCCGTAAGTGCAAACATGAAGTTCTGAGAAAACGGGCTCAGAAGCTTCTGACAAGAACATTTCATTGAAAGAAGCCTCCGTTCTTTGCCAAATTGCCACTAATCGTCCGGAAGACTCCTAGAAATCGTATGGATGATTAAAAATCGACCGGTTTTATTTCCATTACATAAAAAGAGTATTTTTCAGTTTCATGGTAGGTTATTGTTCGGCAAGACAGCCGTAAGTGCTATCTCCTGCATGCTTTCGTGGTTGCGTTTTGGACGCACAACAAACACATTTTCAGGTTAGAAATTGGCAGAAGAGGGCGGCACTTTACTGGAAAGCACTGTTTTCATTGGCTCTCATGCACATGCGGCTGTCTTGAAAAAAACTTTGTCATTTTTTGGGCACTTACGGCTTTCTCATACGTCTCGTTTTCATTAAAGTAGGACGAATTTTGCTGTTTTAGCCGTCTCAGTAATTTCATCTAAAAGAGTTTAGACGAATTTTGAAGAAAACTCGATTTCGAAAATTTTGCACTTACGGCTCTCTTCGCTATCACGGCAGAATAGCTGTTGGTTCATTATTGAAATTGATAGACAAAACGATAGACAAAGATGATAAAAGGAAAATTGAGAGATCCTATTGGCGGAAGTGGAAAAAGGAGGTAAATAATTGACTAACGGCAACTCAAGAGATAACCTATGGTTAGTCCATCATCCCCCCCCCCCGCTTCCGCCTATACAATCGCTTCATTTCCCATTAGTCTTCTTTGTCTGTAGCTTTGTCTATCGATTTCGATTATCAGTCTAATCGCTGGTCTGATACAGTCATGTGCAAAAGTCTTACAGGTACACAGATTGCAATAAAACACACTTTCAAGGTAAAACTATGCTGTAATTTTACCGGAAAGTTACATATTTTGCCCGAGCACTGTGTGAAGAGGGTATTCTAATTGAAATTCAATGCAAAACATTTCTTGCGATTTTTTTTGTAGCCAAATACCGGTCTCATTTCTCAGCATTTGGGAATTTTATTTTGTCGAGGAAGCTACTTCCATGGACGAGAGCTACCGCCATTTTTTGACTGAAAAGTCAAAACCTGGCAAAATTTTTGACTTGATCGATGCATAAAGCCTAGCACGCCAGTTCGAACGTTTCAAAACCCGGGTCAAACTACCTTACCAGAAATTAAGGTCCAGGACTATACTGCTGTGCTAAGGAAGAACGCCGTATGAACATTCGGGAGTTGCCAAATTTCCTTCAATAAAATTTTTATTTTTTATAGAAGTTATGAATATTTTTCGTTGAAATTTTCAGGAAGTTAGGTGAAATTGCAAACAGAATTATCTGAAAAATTGGATGTAAAATATTCATGATTTTACAAAGAAATGTGTGTTTGATCAAAGGAAATTTGGCAACGCCTGAAGGTTCATACGGCGTTTTTCCATACCAAGGCAGTATACGAAGTGACTATTTTTAAGCTAATATGTGCATAATTGCTAGAAAATCCTAATTATAATGCTTTAATGTGTGTGCTTATACGCTGCGCGTTAAAAGCTTTGATTACCATCCGCGTAAAAATAAAATCCGGTCGGTAGAACTTGACTCAAAATGCGCCGTTAGGAGCAGCAGGCTGCAACAGTTAGTTCACGCGTTATGACTACTGTCGAATTATACATACATGACATTCAGTGCTCCCATTCCATGCCCGTCAAAAGTTCCGGGATGCGGAACTTTTTTGTTCCAATTTCTCCCACAACATGGCCGTTAACAGTTCTGGGATTCCTTTAAGATTTTTTCAAAACTTCCGGAAAATGCAAGAGATCCGGAACATTTCGAGAATTTCCGTGAAATATTTCATGAAATTACACAAAGTTGTGAAATTATGAAACATATTTCCAGGGGCTGGGTATGCACCATGCACTGAAAAACACCAAAATACAAAAACCAATCGCCTTTCATTCAATTTTGCATTTAATTTCGACAAAATATTTTTCAAAATTTTGATTATTTTTTTTTGACATTTCGTGAAATTTCGAGATTTTATTTTTCGTGAAAAATTGGAGCCTTGGCTTTGGTCCTATCACAAGAAATTTTTCTAGCAGCACTCATGTGCATATTTGGAGACAAAATCTAGTCACTTCAATAGGAGTAGGAACCCAGATTTTAAGCGAAGGCCGCCAGGGTAAGGTTGTCACGGGATTGCATATTCATTATTTTGAAGGCAATTTATGCGCATACTTGTTGTCGTTGCAGGGATACCGTCCGGAAATTAGCAGTCTCGCGCGTTTCAAAGAGATATGCTGCCGTGCTAAGGAAAAACGCCGTATGAACCTTCAGGCGTTGCCAAATTTCCTTTGATTAAGTTCACGTTTTCGAGAAAACTTATGATTATTTTTCTTCCAGTTTTCCAGATTATTTTGTTCGCAAATTTCACCTAAAGTTCCTGAAGCTTTCGAGGAAAAATATTCATAAATCTCCTTAAAAATACACGTTTAATGGGAGGAAATTTGGCAACGCTCGAATTTTCACACGGCGTTTTTCCTCAGCACGGCAGTATGGCACGGAATCATGCTTTAAGTATCAGAATGAAGCGTAGTGTGATTCTACGGCAGGCCGCTTCATTTCGTCGCTCGGCCGACAAAAAGGTGTAACTACATTTCTGCAGCACTGTAGAAGAACGCCGTAAAAGCCATCAGTCGTTGCTGTATTTCCTTTGACAAATCACGAATTTGTAGGAGAATTTGTGAATATCCCCCTTCCAATTTTCCATTTTTCAGAGGATTTCGTTCGTAATTTGATCGAAAAAGTCTGAAATTTCAATGAACATATACCGCCGTGCTAAGGAAGAACGCCGTACACGCTTTCAGACGTTGCCAAGTTTCCTTTGATAAAAACTGAATTTAGTGGGAAAATTGGGAATATTTTTTTCCAACATTTTTAGGCACTTTTGTACGCAATTTTATCTATAATATCTGAAAATTTCAAAGACAAATATGCACGATTGTCGTAAAAATACATGTTTTATCAAGGGAAATGTAGCAACTCTTGAATGTTCATACGGCGTTTTTCCTCAGCACGGAATACGTAAAAACTTACTGCATTTGATTTATGAATTTACAATACTGAAAACTAAAATTTCAGGAAATTCACTCAATAGTTTCTCCTCTAAAATATGAGTTATCACTGGAGATTCTGCAACATCGCAATCCAGAAGTGTTCTTCTGCACCCAACACCTCACTTGCAACATGTAGTCAGGCCTGCCACATCCCAGCTCGGGCCCTGGTACCAGTTTCAAGGTCCGGGGCCCCATGAATGCCAACCTGCTCCCCCTTACTACCAGAAATATAATTTGTAATATCATGAAAATCAATAAGGTTAGAAATAAAGATGAAGTAAATTAATGATCATTACATTTAAGGAGAGTTTATTCACATACAAAAAATGATTTATGTACTGAAAGTCTTGAAAATTAATAGAAATCCTCAAAGAAGTAAGAAGAATTCTACAGTGCCCCAGCGTGTTTTTGAAAATTTATACACTTTTTGCGAAATTTTTAGGGTAAATTTAACTAGACAAGGGTTATCTGGAATTCGAAGTAGTGTGTCATGGATGGCACGGGCCCCTCCGGGACCCAGGGACCAGGGACCCAGTATCCCCCCCTCCCTTGTGGCGGGCCTGCTTGTAATCCAAATCATCAAACGTTGAATCCTTGTACGTTCGAGTTCACAAGATTAAAACATTCATTCTCCGCTTGAATTATCCTACGAAACTGCGCCCTTTAAATTCAGAACACCGTACATTTTCAGCATCGTTATTTCCTATGGCCCCTCACCAGGGATGATATTCCGTGACTCCATGCCGAAATGAGCACTAGCCAGAATGTGCCAGGTACCCCCAAAGAGAGAGGATACAGGATACTAACACTCGCGACGCACAGTGGATCGAGTCAATTAGAGAGGTCGGACATTAAAGTTTTCAATAAAACTTCAAATTTTGATGTTTAATTCGTCATATTTTAAATTTCAAGGGGTGCTTTCGGAAGAAAATTTTACGAGGAAACCAATGAAACCACTTTTAGAACCTCGAAGTTTTGAATGAACGAAGTAATGAGCGTTTAAAGTTTCCAAATTTTGTCCGACCTTTCCTATTGCCTCGATCCACTGTGCGACGAGACGATGCAATGACAGGAGAAGATAGCATTGAACGCGGGTCCCATCTGAACGTATTCAAACCAAAAGGAACTCTCTATATTAATACGTGAGACCCGTTGCGCATGTATTCTTGCGAATTTCAGAGCCCAGGTCACAACGGAGATAGCCCCTTTTGATTTAAGTACGTTCCTTTACTCCTCAATAACGTTAATTACTTTTGGTAAATCGCAGGAGTACTTAGAACCTGGAACTCAAGTTCATTCTTCAACCTTCGATCTCTCCGTAGATGTGAGGATTGAATAATTGGACGTATTTATGCTAAAAGGAACTATGTTGCACGTGAAACCTTTGCGCATAGTTCCTTTTAGCATAAATAAGTCCAATTATTCAATGACCTGCCTTTGTATTTTGTATTTTAGCCTTTTTGCCGCATTTTCCTGTGTTTTCGAATGCCGTTTCTGTTTCGGGCTGCTTTT